ATGTGGGATCCGAACTGGGGCCCTCTGGCGTCCCAAACCAATTCTTAACTATCGCGCCACTTGGCTGGCCCCAGTGTTTCCTTTCTTGAAATGTGTATACATTTTTTGGCACTCTCTGTAGTTTAGTGATGAAAGTTTTTCTTACATATGGCATAGCATAGCTGAGCCATAATTATATTTTAAAATATTAGTGCTATCATTCCCAGTTTTATTATTTTTCTGTAGGTGGATACTAAAATTTTTCTAGTAAAAACTCTTAAAATTCCTGACTCTTAAGAATACAGTGGAGGTTATTGAAATGCTTTTCTTAATGAAAATCTTTTAAGGGACCATGTAAATATTGAGGTTGGATTAATATATAAATTATTTTTATACATTTTCAAAACCGTTGGTCCTAAATGCACACTTTAAAATAAATATATAGAAAGTGTTTTCAAGTATGGTTGCATGTTTTTTGAAGAGATAATTCAAATCTCTAACTTTTTTTTACTGGAAGTAATGGAATGTAGAGTTTTCCCCATTTTTACTGATAGCTGTGTGTGCTACAATCTAAGTTTCAGCAATGGCGGACCAAGCACGAACTCTTCTAGTCAGTAGAACTAGTGTATAATTCATCCCTTAAAGCAGTTTCTTTGCCTAGCAATCACAGTCACTGGAGGAACTTTTTCAAAAAAACAGATTCTGTGGCTTTACTTGAGAGATGGTCAGTCTCTGACGGATGGCATTTGGGAATTATGTATTTTCAAAATAGTCCCTAAGTGATTCTGATGTTACTTCTGCTAGAGAACTACTGCCTTAGAGATAGAAATCAGTAGAATGAAAGGAATTACTAACACTTAGAATAACATCTGACCAAATTGAATTTATAATTCACATTTTTCTAGTAACCCAGAATAACAAAGAAAACTGCTAATTAGAAATTATGGTCTTTTGCATAAGATGATATTGATATTTATATTATTAGTATTTCTTGCAGAAAAAATAGTATCTAAAATACTATTTCTTAATGAAAATGAAATAACTGGCTTTTTCCCAGTAAAGAAATATTTTTCTCTGGCAGCAACTCCACTGTGCTTTTGATAATTTTTTTGTATTTCTTGCTTCTCTTGATTTTCAGAATGACATTCTAATCTTTTTAGCTGTGAATGATGTTTTTACATTCAATGTTTTGGTGGGAAAACTTACCAGCATTATGTCTTCATTGTTCTTGACTGAACACTTTGTGATGTCTTCAGGTTTTATTTTTAATTTCATATTTCAGTGCACATCATTCTGATGCTTAGGAGATCATATAAATCACATAATATTTTATGATTTTCAAGTTTGAATTACCCCAACTGCTGATTTTGTTTTTCTAGTCTTGAAACTTGACTAAAACAAACGTTTTAGTGATTTTGCACTGTTAGTATATGACTCATCAACTAGATTTATATATAGGCAGTCTCCAACTTAAAAGTGAATTGTGTTCTAAGAGTTTGTTTGGCACTGACAGTAATTCCTGATAGAGTAAGTGCTACACTAGTGTTCCAC